TTGTTCTAATGGCCAGAGATTTTGAACTTTTAAAAATATGTATTTATGGGCTTTTTGTACTTCTTCTGAAAGGTATCTTTTTATTTCAGTTGCCCATTTTTCAAATGGGGCTTTAACTTGAGGGGCCTAGTTTTGTCTGATTTCTTTAAATATTGTAAACATTAGTCTTCTGACTGAGAAGTAACAAACAAAAATTTCTCCTAGTATGTATTTTGTCACTCTACTCTGTTGGTTGTTTCTTTTGCTATGAAAAAGCTTATTGTTGATTCTTGATGTTATTTTGTGTACAATTGCAGTCTATACAGAAAGTCCTTCCTTCGGGCTGGTGAGATGGCTCAGTGGTCTAAGGCATCTACTTAGAACAAGCTTAGCAAAGCACCGGGACCGTGGTTCAATCCCCCAGCACCACATGCCAGCCAGCCCCGCCCCCTGGTGGGCTGAGCTGGCCACACACACACACAACACATAAGTAAACGTCTTTAAAAAAAAAAAAGTCCTTCCTTCACCTATGTCTTCAAGAGTTTTATCTGTTTTGTCTTCCACTTGACGAAATGTTTCTTTTTAATATTTAGATCTTTGACCCATTTGATTTTTTTTTTTTTTTACGGAACCAGGGATTGAACTCAAGCCCTTGTGCTTGCCAGGCAGGCACTATTCTATTGAGCCATCTTCCTGCCCCCGCCCTTTTTTGGGAAGGATTTTTTTTGCTCCGAATGCCTTCAGGGCAGGTTTGGCTGGCTTGAGTTATAGGGATCGAACCCCAGCAACCTGAGCCTGACTGCTTTGTTGAAGCAGCCACTTAAAAAACTGAGCTAAGGGGCAGGCCCCCCCATTTGATTTTAGTTTAGGACATGGTAAGAGCTGTGGATCTAGGTTCAATTTGCATGTGAATAGCCAATTTTCCCAGCAGTATTCCTTAGAAAGGCTATCTTTTCTCTGTGTTTCTTGCCTCCACTGTCAAAGATCAGATAAGAGCATTAAATGTGTATGGGATGGCTTCTCCATTCTCCACTCTGTCCCATCACTCCACATGTCTTTATGGTAGCACCATGCTATTCTTAACACTGTAGCTTTGTAATGTAACTAGAAATCAAACTATGATGTGTCCTCTGTGCTCTTCCTGCCCAGGCTTGCTTTTGCTGTTCTGTGTCTCTTTTGGTTCCCCATGAATTCTAGGATTGTTTTCCCAGTTGTCTGATGAATACTTGTTCATTTTTGATTTGGGTTCTGTTAATTCTGTATGTCAGTCTTGGAAGTATGGCCAATGAAAGAGTATTGGTTCTGTCTACTCAGAAATGGACCATCTTTCCATTTTCTGATGTTGTCGTCAGTCTCCTTTTTCAGAGTGCTAACATTGTTATTGTAGAGGCCTTCCACTTCCTTGGTTAGGGTAAATTCCTAGAAATTTAATTTATTTTTATGCTGTTCTGAACGATATTGTTTTCCTAATTTCTTTCTTGATGAGTTCATTATTGATGAACAGGAATACTATTCATTTTTTTCTGTCTTGATTTTTCTATCCTGCTACATTACAGAATTCAGGTATTCTGGGGGACTTTTGGTGAATTGGGGGAGGGGAGGTTCTACACAGAATCATGCCATCTGCTGATAATGATAATTTGACTTCTTCCTATATGTATTCCTTTATTTCTTTCTATGATTGTTCTAATATTTCAAGTACTAAATTAAACAGGAGTGGTAGAAGTGGGCATCCTGGTTTTGTTCTGGATTTTAGAGGGAAAGATGTCCACATTTTGTCGCTTAATATGATGTTGATACTAGGTTTGTCCTAAATGTCTCTTGTCATATTGTGATGAAGTTCTTCCATGCCTGTTTCCTTCAGGCTTTTTTCTTACCGTGAATGGATCTTGCTAGTACAGAGATCTCTTTAGTTACTGTCTGGTTC